AGGAACAAGGACGCTACTAGGGGCTCCTGGCCATACTACTAGGAACAAGAACGCTACTAGGGGCTATCGCTACTAGGAACAAGGACGCTACTAGGGGCTCCTGGACTTCTTATTTGGCAAACTCAGCTCCTGACATCCCATGGCTGTCAGGTTCAGCTCCACCCGCAAAGTTCAGAAGCCAAAAGAATCGCTGCGGACATCCGGGTGAAGCGGAATATATGATGAAAATCGCCCTAAGGTTTTCCTATATCCAAATCTTCAAGACTTCTTCCCTTTAGTCACTCTTTAGTTTTGGAAGAGGGAATGCCAAAACATAACAGTAACAGTGAAAGCCGCCAACTTCTGCATCGTGTCACAAACGTCTTCCATTCTTTTTCATGGAACCTTTCCGGGTTGCTCTCAACACGGGCTTCTCATGTTTGCACATCTCGACCGGAACTCAACGGAAACAGAACCATGCTGGGAAACCGCAAAATCAGCTGGAACACACTCTCTCTCTCTCTCTCTTTGTCGGGTCGGTCGCTTGATCGCCCTCAAATTCACATGTCCCCAAATGATGTCTTCCGCTCCCTTTTTGTCCAACAGGCCAAGAATCTTGCTGCCGGCTGCCTCACAACATGTATAAACGTCTGAAGCATGACTCATATGACATTCTGCCATGATTCTCAAACTCTGCCCTTTCTCATTGAAGTGCACATGCACGCACACACACACACAATCTAAAGAAACGCAACTGGAATATGAACTACCAGCACCCCTCACCTGGCCCAATATGGCAACTGGGCTGACGCCTTAGTGCGGCACAGAATACCAAAAAGGATCAAAAAGGGCACTTGCACGCGCGGCAAGGTTTCATATCTTGGTCCCCACCTAGTTGCCCAAGTCCAACATGCTCTTCGATTTATACACTCAGCTGTATTTGACTGACATGCTAAACAGCTACAAGGCTTTAGAGAATGTGAGCAGCTTCCCTCGCAGGTGCAAACCAAGCCACCTGAACTCTCCTTCCGTCACACAAGGAGCTGAAGTGTTGACTGTTTGGTCTCATGTTTTCTCTGATCATTCTGTCCTCTGTTTCTTGTAGATTTGTTGATGCGTCCACTCAGGGCTTCACTGAGCTGAAATGTCCCATGAGTGGGAAAATTGCAAGTCAAAGTGGTCTGTATCAAACAAATGGCATGGCGATGTGATTGCCATCCTTGCCATCTCTGTGTTCAATAGAGCGCTCTTCCAAGCATCAGGGTGCCGCGCGGCACCAAAGGTGCTGCAAACGAAAGGTCCGACTCAATGCGAAAGGCTTGAGCACGTAGAACGGCAAATTCACGCAATCGTGGCGGGAGTGGTGCAGAGAGTGGCACGGACCCATCCCGACACCTGCAGTCCAACGCCACAAGTACCACTTGACAGGAAGGACATCCGCTACATCCGCTTGTCTCCAACACCCCTGCGAGAGCTCTGGAGACAGAGACGCCGAAGCTGTGAGCGCAAAGAATCAGGCCTTGACATGCGCTAGATGTCCTGGACCACAGCAGAAAGGTAAACACATGCCGCCAATGCCAGAACTTCCTCAACTGGCAAAACGTATTTGGAGCTGACTGGAAATTGGGAGAAAATAGCAAACTCTGCTATGCTGGTGGTCGAGACAGTTCGTGCTGCCCCTGTCAAAAAATCATCACAGTTTCTGCTCTAATACCGTTGCTGTCGGCAAGCTGGATGCATCGGGATGTGTCGTGATTTTTGCCCTTGCCTAGCTTGACTGGTCCTAAATGCGGCAACTGCAATGGCTGCAACGACCATCAATACGAGAGTTTGATGCCCAAACAGGTGTGCGCAAGACTTGTGCATTGCCGGGGTATCTAGGCGTTAACCCCGCTTGCCTCTGAAGATGCCGTCTCCATCGGAATTCTTGCAATGAGATCACGTGTGAAGTTACATCAGTCAAAAGCTCTAGTGCAAACATGCAGCTGAGCTTGACATAGCACCCCGCAACTTGCCAGTTGGAGCTCAAGCTCTCACCTGTTGGAAAAAGTAACCGTCAAAGTTTGTCCATTAGTTCCAGTTCCTAGATACCTCAAGGTGCAAAAACAGTCTCATCAACTTGAGACTGAGCTCGAAACAGTTTTGAGCTTGGCACATGATTTTCAATATCTTGAAGCCAAGCTGTGAAGTTTAGTTCGTGCCCCGCTTACAGAAGCAAAAGCACAGATTGTACAATCAATGGGGTTACGGAGTTAGGGGTGGTGGATTTTGGATTCCGCTCAAAACAGGCCGTGTTCTGCAAGCAAAGCACTTCGCAAGGAAAGCTCAGGCTCCCGGTACCCGGTACCTATCGGTACCTAGTAGCTTCTTGTTACTACTAGTAAGGCACTTGTTACTAGAAGCGATGCACTTGTTACTAGTAGCTTCTTGTCACATTGATTTGGCGAAGGGCATTCCCAAGTTTACGGTACACTCGCTGCATCAGTTTTGCTGCCGTTCCTGTGGGGAAGCAGCACACAGATCTTAGAAAAACTCCACAAAACCTTCCCGAACAACGGCAACATGGTGATTTCTGGGGCATGAGCTCGTGGCCATCCTGGCAGCCGATTCCACATGCATCTTCTGCTTTTGCTTGACCTTTTGCCTTTGTTCAGTATGGGTATGGGTATGAGATTGTATGAGACATACGCCCTAGCAAGGATCTCTCTCTCCATCTTGCCGTAAGTTAGTTATTTTGATTGATTCACTCAGGGTTGCCCTGTCGTTAAAGAATGAGGCAATACTCCCAGGCACGGAGAAAGGAAAATGCCTGCCCACTGGAAGGCCTAAAGCCCAAATGCCTCTGACATTTCTTTCTATCCCAGGAGGCTTTCCAAGCTGGTCAAAGGACTCTGAAGAGCTGAGGAAGCGGTGGACCTTTGTCTGCAAAAAACACGATATTCGACCGCTTTCTACGCACAAGCTCCGCAAACTCCAAAGTCGCTGTCGCGAATGCTTTGGAATTCGGTCGGATGAGCCTTGGTGTCCAAGGTTCTCCCCAAACGGTATTTGAGCACACCATTTGCAACTCATGATATGGCATCAAGGCGATTCGCGTCCAAGCGCGCGAGCTGTGCGATGGCCCCACACCTTGGAAGCAGTTGGCGGCCATGAAGAAGAATTGCCAACGGCTGCGCCGATTTGAGGATGCTTGTGTTGTTTGTAGTGCTTGCTTGGTTGCTGCTAGCTGATCAGGGGTTGCCTACTGTCCAGTGCTTCCGCATGGTCATTGCTTCAGTTCGAGTCTTCCGAGCCGAACATGATCAAAGCGGAGTTGTCCAAAAAGGGTGGAACGTGTCGACATTGAAGCCTTTTAAACCCTTCTTGCCAGTTGCAGGTGGAAGCCCGCTATCCAAATTCCTACTGTGGGCTTAGGGTGCTTCAAGGTGCTCGCCAAACTACTTTAGGCTGTACTTGTACATGGAATATCTCAAGAGGGCTAGCAACGTGCAGCTCTCTTGGGCCGATTTTGGCAACCGCTTTGCCTTTTGTTTTTCACCTCAGCTTTTTTTTGCTGTGACAGTTTTGGGTACATTTGCAACAGCCGTGAGCGGCTTGGAAGTTGGGCCTGCACAGCCGTGGCTCGTGCAGAAGACATCTAAAGGCAGAAAGTGATGCCAACCCTGATGCCAACATGTCTGGTCACCTTTGTAACCTTTACAAGCTGCAAATTAGATATGCGTTCCAGCGGCAGGGTGTGGAGCTCCAAGTGTTCAGCAATCTGCACCAAACTGAAAAACTAATTTATCCACGCATTAAGTGCATCTTTATAAATGACACTACGTCCACCTGAATGGAGTGCAAAGGGAGCGCGTGCCGTGTGGAGGTGAAATAATTTGCACAAAGCATCGGAACTTTTTGCGTCCAGCCACCTTGCTGCTGCACGTTGCAATGAGCATGCCACATGCACTGTAGGGACAAAGAGCCCTGCTTGCGGGATTTGATGCTCTATTTTAGTGGCCTGGATGTCCCCCGCTTCTGCAGCACATTGAGCAAGCGGAGCTGACGCGCGACTTTTCCATGCATGTCAGCCACTTCAGGCCATTGGTCGAGGAGCAAGGCATACTCATTGGTAGTAATGCTCTTGTTACTAGTAGTGATGCCCTTGTTACTCGTAGACACCAATGAGCTCAGACATGTGTTCTCGGGCATTTCATCATCTCTCTAGAAGTATTCCTTCAAGCGTGCCGAAGTCAAATGTTGGTTCCAGCGTAGCCGTGTTCCAGCGTAACCGTACCGTGTGCGCCGTGCGCATGGTCTTTTAGATAGCCTGCGAGGCTTCACATGAGACTTGACTTATAGTTTATATAGTCATGTGCCTCCGCAATGAAGATCTGGCACATGCTGGGGTGGACATATAGTAGCATGATACCATGAACCAGATTGCAAAAATACCTATGGATCCCCTTTCTTTGGGCAATGTGACGACATGCGGCATATTGCACAACAACTGAGAATCCTTAAGCTGCTTGCGACATACTACTAGGAACAAGAAGCTACGAGGGGCTCCCGGCATCGCTACTAGGAGCAAGGACGCTACGAACGGGGCTCAAGGGCATCGCTACTGGACAACTTGTGTGCAAAAAACTCGGTCCGCAGGGGCGCTCCACGATGAGAACAAAGGAGTCTCGGCAGCGGGTTGACCTTGTTCGAAGTCCGAAGTCACATAGTGCTTCAAGTCCGTCACATAGTGCAATGACGCACCACTCAATCTTGCCTTAACCTTTTGTGCATTGACTTACTGGCAACTCGCCGACAAGCGTCGCCTTGCAAAAGAAAACTAATGGAAGCAGCTGGAAGCACTTGTCTTGCTAGGCCTCGTCCTCCTTCAATTGTGAGCCCTCAAACTGTGATGACATCAGTATTTTGCACATCCTGACGCTCCCTGGCTGACCCACGCTTTTGCGAGGCCTTGCCAGGCTTCGTGTTGAGTCTAGATGGCCCACAGTTGCAGCAACATCACGAGGAATGTCGGTTGCAGCTTGGCATCTAGCTTGATTGGAATTAAGAGATTTATGACGGACTCCACGGATTACCTCGATGCCTGGTGAAGCTTAGCTTACCTCAGTGCATCATGGAAGAACCCTGATTGCGGTACTGTCTTGCAACCGATGGTTTCATCGATTCATTAAAACTATCTCAATTGCTTTGAGATGCTTTGAGGATCAGGTGACCCCCCAAGGGATCGCAGCTCCCAAAGCACTAAAGTCAAGGGACAAAATGATTGGAATGCTCCCTGGGATCCGTGGGACAAAATGCTTCCAATAAGCTCAAACTCTTTTAAGCGAAAAACCTTGCAGAAGCCAAGGCCTTCGTGGAATGTGAATACAAATCCTTCTCAATACAACTGCAGTGAGCCTTTCGCAGATCCAAGAGCCTGCAAAGTGCTAAGAGGTTTTCAATGATGCCATGCAGTCCCACCAGTGCATTAATCCCCTTTTTGGTCTAAGCTAGTGAGGTGTGATGCCAGTGGGACGCACACTGGAATGCAATTTCAGCATTTGTGGAAATCTGCAAGCCTCCCAGGAAGACTATCAACACGATGTATTTCAGTGGCCTTAATAATCACAGTGCTGGGCCCAGGTGGGCCAGTGGGACCAGTTGTTCAAAGTCAGTCTTTCTCTGGAAATGGTTTCCATAAATCAGATCAAGGAACACTAAGAAACATGTTATTTATTTAGATATTGATATTTGGTCTAATCTTCACGCAACACTTGGCAAGAATTGTACGTTTCCCAATTGCGCAAACAATTCTGGCATTGGCGGCTGCTGATCAATGCTAGTGTGTGATCAACATTTGCAGCCTCTCAAACACAGGTTACTTCTTGATGTCAAGTTGAAAAAGGATTGCCGCACAGGCAACTAGCGTTCCTGGCAGTCCCGTAGCTCAAATTCTCACGCCTGAAGCTTATTATTCAAGCACCGAAATCTCCACCTAGTAAAATCCAGACTCTCCTGAATCAACTTTAGGGCATCAGCTCGCAAACAGTAACTCAGAGAAGGCTGAGACATTGGTGGGTTCCACAAGAATGCCATTCAAATAGGCAGTTCCCTGTCTGCCTAGCTTTCTCTAGTTGTGCCACGAAAACACGGGACAAGCAGGACACTTGCTATGTTCTTAGCCTTGAATGCAAAGCGATGAAGATCGACAAAACGAGGCCATTTCTGGCTCCTCACCACATGGACAGTGGAAGCACAGTGGACGCGGCGCATGTTGTATGGGGAGTAGTGTCAAAGCGAGCAGTGAAGCCAAACTTCAAGCTTGCCACACCTATATAATAGGTTTTAGTGTTCTTCCTTGTCTGGCAACCTATAAAGACAGTAACTTGTCAGCCAAATGCATGTGCAAAATTGGACGCCTGTAAATGTTCAAGCCAAAACAACATGTTTTTGCTGGACGGAGCTAGTAGTGGATCTATACAACATAGAATCTACAGGGAACACATATTGATGCACCCTGTTGGTGCTCCAGGTGATCACGAGCGAGTTCAATTTTTTGCTGCTCCTGCTAGCTAGGTCCGGGTGTCGCATAAGTCATCTTCCCCAGTCCGCAGTGGACCGCCACAAGGATCGGGTGCACTGGATTTGAGTGGGCCGATCGTCAATCGAACAATGAGAACTTGGAGAGCTACGTGTCAATGCTCACGATTTCCTCAAGTCTAGTGACCATCTTCGTCATGCCAGATTTCCTCTACCTGCACCACTGGGGGCTTCGATTGAGCCACACAACAATACAGAGTTTGAAAAGGAAGCCCGTGAAATCAAGCCGTGCTCCGGACACGTGAGCCGAAACATGTGCCTGCCCTATCCTAGCCTCATTTCCACACGTGTGGAAGCACGAAACCACTTCAACAATCAAAAGGTAAAAACAAACTTGTGTCTCGAACAAAGCACTTTTCCTGACTCCTTCCATGATGCACGAGCTGACTGGTGCAACTCTTGTAAGTCAGGCAGGAGCCCCTAGTAGCTTCTTGCTACTAGCAGTAGGGCCAGGAGCCCCTGGTAGCGTCCTTGTTACTACTAGTAAGGCACTTGTTACTAGTAGCGATGCACTTGTTCCTAGTAGCGTCCGGCTCTCGCCCACCTGGTGGCAAAACACAAATCCGAACAACTGAGCGTGAAAAGCTGGGTCACTCTCTCTGACGAGGCCTGCATGTGCACTCGCAGGAGGCCAAACTGTCTGAGTTTGCTTGAGTAGAATTCGCATGAATTGGATTGCATGCGCATGCACAAGAAGCGGCTAGGGGCTCCTGGCATCGCTACTAGCAGCAAGGACGCTGCTAGGGGCTCCTGGCCGTACTACTAGGAACAAGAAGCTCTAGGAGCAAAGGGCATCGCTACTAGTCCCAAAGGTTCACACACATGTCGCACCAGCTCGACAGGACGCAAGTGGGAGCCCTGTAGAGAGGCAACTTGTCACCTTGATTATTTTCTTGCAAAGGAAGTGTGAAACGACAAGAAACAAAATATATAAAGTACATGTGTGCAAGGAAACAAGGCACCCCCCCAAAAGCAAAAGACACGAGCAACAAGGATTCCCACGTCAGTACCCTTACAGCGGCACCCTGCAGCGGCATCCTGCAGCAGCACGAGCAGGCTCCAAAGTGCACAAACATCTGGCAGCAGCACCCTGGAGCGGCACCACCCAGGCTCTGAAGCTTAAACCTTAGGGACTAGTAGCGTCCTTGCTGCTAGTAGCGATGCCAGGAGCCCCTAGTAGCTTCTTGTTACTAGTAGCTACTTGCTCCTACTAGTACGGCCAGGAGCCCCTAGTAGCGTCCTTGCTCCTAGTAGCGTCCTTGCTCCTAGTTTGGGAATACGGATCCAAGAGCTGTGTAAGCATGAAGTCCGCCGCGATATTGAGCCGAAATCGACAATAAACAGGCTAAAGGCTAAGGACCAAGTGACCAAGGAGTGTCTGTGCAAAATCAACCAAAACGACCCAAAGTCAGCTGAGCAGCATTTGCAGCGATGCACCATAAAACCCGGCCAAAATGAAGGGTTAACCCAAGCTGTCTGGAAGATGCTAGCAGCATCGGGTAAGGAAGCTTTGGTGAGCGTCGAAGCTGAGTGCAGGCGAAGCGCAGTTCGCACCTTGAGTCAGCAGTTGCGCGTGCGCTTTATGGGTTACTGTTACAGTTCTTGCTTACGATCTTTTGTTCTGTTTTGGTACAAAGGGCTATCCAAGCTTTGTAGTCGCCTCCAGCAAAGCATTGCCGCACGGCGCATCTGCGCAACGCTGCAGCCGAGTTCTCCATGCAGCCACTAGTTCATCTACCTTCATCTAGCACATGGACCAACCTGAAGTCGCATCCAAAAAGCCAAAGGGTTAACAAACGACCACACTAACACAGGAGTCAACAACATCCTAAATGGTCTGAATCACAACAGCACCCTGGGGGAAGCGCAAAAGCGCTCCTGAGGACAAGCCATTGGACTACAAAGAAAGTAACCAAAGGAGATCTGAATGGAACCAAGGAGAATCCACAAGATCTAGATGGGAAAACGCAAAAAGTATAAAAGAAGCTACTAGGAGCAAAGGGCATCGCTACTAGGAACAAGGGACGCTACTAGGGGCTCCTGGTCGTACTGCTAGGAACAAGAAGCTACTAGGAGCAAAGGGCATCGCTACTGGGAACAAGAAGCTACTAGGGGCTCCTGGCCGTACTACCAGAACAAGAAGCTACTAGGAGCAAAGGGCATCGCTACTAGGAACGACGCTACTGGGGGCTCCTGGCCATACTACTAGGAACAAGAAGCTACTAGGAGCAAAGGGCATCGCTACTAGGAACAAGGACGCTACTAGGCTCCTGGCCATACTACTAGGAACAAGAAGCTACTAGGAGCAAAGGGCATCGCTACTAGGAACAAGGACGCTACTAGGCTCCTGGCCATACTACTAGGAACAAGAAGCTACTAGGAGCAAAGGGCATCGCTACTAGGAACAA